ATGCACTGTTTGGAACCTTTGGTGTAGTAATGAATATTACTGGAGTTTTTTCCCAACACCAAATCGTTATTTTTAACACCAGTAATATTCATTACTACACCAAAGGTTCCAAACAGTACATCGCAAGGCCTTCTTACTGGTCGCTGTCATTTGAATCATCATATGCAGAGACTTGGACTGTCGGAAGACAGTGTGTGTCGCCTCTGTTTGGAAAATGATGAAACAGCAGAGCATATACTTTGTGCCTGCCCCGCTGGGGACCGAATCACGTTCTTAGAGTTCGACAGATCCGTACTCTTACCGTCTGACCTGAAAGACCACTCCAAACAAAATAAACGCCTTCGTTAAGAAGCTGGGTTTATTTGGCCGAATGTGAATAGGTGTGGGGGTTTCGGTGGAGGGTCCAATATTTCCACTCACTTTAGACCTAACCTAACCTAACCTAGTGAGAGTGAAATTAGTGACATGGATGTATCTGAAGATGATGAAGAAATGTTAGTTGTGACAGGAAATTTTGGGAAATTGACCCGTAAATCAGTTGTAGTTTTTGACGCAAAAAATATTAATTTTTATTATTGGGCAAAATTATTGAAGTTAACAATTCCGACTACGGAGCGGCTAATTAACAAAGAAACTATGAAGTTCCGGATGCCTTTCGAGCTTGATTTGGCTAACGTCGAATTGAAAGATATTAAAATGATTCTGCCACAGCCAAAGATTAATAACTTTTTTACTGTTTAATACAAAAAATATTGGTTTTGACTAGAAGAGCTATGATTTTTTAAAATTCCCTTTCTGTTTTGAGTCTGTCTGTCTGAAGTCTGATTATTGCATCTAAGTTTTTATGAGTCTAATTATGTTTCATTGCATGTGGAAAATACCCCGGTTGAATGTGTACCTCTTGATGTACACATTAAACCAAATCTAGTTTTCCATAAATTCTTTTTTTACGTTGAAACCAAACGGAATTTAAAAAATTGATATTCGCACAACTGTTGTTGAATAAATACACAAACTACACACAAAAAATTAAAGGCATTAACTGAAAAACGAGCACACTACCAGAGTTTGAAATTAACCTGGTTCAATGTGAGACAACCTATATACCCTGCTAACAATCGAAACGTCGTGAAGTAACTTGGATTGGAATCTCTTAACTTTTTCATTTTATTTTCTGTTCAATTTATTCCAATTTTACTTGTATTGTATTGTATTTTATTTACCTATTACTTCATTTCAGGTTTTTTGCTTATTATAATTGTTTTTTCAGCTATTCATTTTATTCTTCTTCTTCAATTTTCAATTCTTCTTCTTTAGTTCTTTCAGGGATTTGAAATCATTTTATATAATATCAGACAATGGAAGTCCGAACTAATAATGAAACATTGTCAATCACCTTCAAACATACTTTTTATCGCAATCCTCACAACTCATTTCTTGAATCCCAGGCTTTTTCTTTTCGTCTTCTTGTCATTAGAGTGGTCCAATATTTGTTGAAATGTACGAGCAGTTTTATACCACTTTCATATTTAATTTTCCAAAAATTTTAATGAATCCGTTGGTGTATTTTGGTTCGTATCAAAGAACTATAAATATGAGTCTTCGTATTTCTGAAAAGTAGAGGATTTACGAAGAAACTTTCCGTATTTTCTCTTCCTAATCAACTTAACCATTATGTTAGAAGGATCATTTCAGGTCCTGAAAGTAACGTGATATGCGTTTTAGCGGTCTTTTGCTGAATGAGTCAAATTCAGTGGTATTACTGTGACCAGTGTCGTTCAATATCAAAAACCAAACCGAGTTAATTGGTCTGTCGCAGGTTGCTGACTTAAATAGAAATGTTCCGTTCCCTACTTTTTCATGGTTACTGACCAGGCAGAGATGCAGACATAGCTTCGATCCGCTTGGAAATTAATTAAAAATATTTGCCTACTTTCAGTATGCTAATTGAACGATAACAGAAATAGTTTGAGAAAGACAGAATATCCAATCGCTAGACTGAAACTAACCTGGATGAAATGTAATTACCGCGAACATTAACTATAAGTACCAGAAAGGTTACCAGTGGATACATGTAATTTGTAAAAAGTCCATGTAAATAGAAATAATTGGGTTCCGCTGAAATAAAAAGGGGAGTGATCAAAGCTATTTTTCGGGTTTGTTGGCCTTGGTCTGCCGATATTTATGCCTAACATTTCATCTACGTCTGCGGTAGACATGATCAAAGGCTATGAGTCAACTTTTGGTTGTCCTCAAATCAGAATTGGTTGGGGTTTCCGAATTTACTCAATTGGTGAATTAAATGACATGATACGAGAGCAGTTGAGTGCAGGTAGCCAGAGTTTATCAATGCTGCTTTCCTCTTCCTTTCGATTGGAATCATTTTGGTGATTCTCAATTTCTATTGTCTCCCTATATTGTCTTGGATAGTAAATCAATCTGTTGAGGACTTGAGCCTCTACGAACGCGATAAAGTAGGTACTTTCTTAGAATGAATGTTCTGTTACTGCTGATTTTTCAGTATCCCCCAGTCTTACCGATAAATGTTTGGAGATCTGGATACTTACTCCACTGCCTTCTTGGATGTACTAGGAACATTGTGTTAGACATGTATCTGAATGAGAATTCCAACCATCAGCCAGACAGAAGAGCGGAGTAATTAAAACTTAATTTGAGAGAATCTGACGCAAGTGTGAACCTGAGAGTCTCACCGAAGGTACTCTATCATTTGAAAAACGCTTTCAAATGGAATGTGTACAGCGAAGCTGATTTCAAGTGGGCAATACCATCAAGAAAAGCCAATCTATATTGTCTTCAACTCTCATTCTATTGTATATCAACGACGTATTGGAAAAAAAACAAGAATCCAATGACAGTACACTTGTTTCATCATTTCATTTGGATTCCAGGGCATTGACGGCGGATGCACATCCTCACCGACAGCAGAAGGTTGCATATCTTAATAAGGATCTATAGTAATTTCGAATTGGGGCGAAAATAACCAGGTTCAATTCAATGCCACAGAAATCCAGGCATCGATTTTCTCCGAAAAGATAAATGTCTCCGAACCAGATATAATAATGTGAGGTCAGACAATTCCACCTTCTGCTTCGATAAGTTTGTTGGGGATAGAACTTGACACCAATATGTCTTGGCAAAAACTGCGATATTGGGTTTAACAAACTGTCTACGTCCTGTAACATAGGATTCAAACCATTTCAGGCAGTTTTCAGCAATTCCATAATGATGTAGCTTCTGCAGCAGTATTCTGTGGTTAACACAATCGAATGAATTGAAGGGGTTATTATTTAGGAGTGATTAATTTTTGGGATAGAAAGTTTTTGGCTTTCTACTACTCCATCTTAATACAAAAAAAAAGGAAGAGGGAATCTTCCAAAGAAAGGAAGGAAGTAATCAATTTGAAAATAAGTAACTCTATACATGGATGTGTAAATCATGCAAAAAAGTAACTTTCAGACAAAAACTGAAAGAAAGTCCTCCTGAAACAACTACTTTCATATAAACATTGAATTACACGAAAGAAAAAAATTCTTTCGAAACAAATACTTAAGAGTTACTTATTTTCAAATTGATTACTTCCTTCCTTTCTTCGGAAGATTCCCTCATCCTTTTTTTGTATCAAGATGGAGTAGTAGAAAGCCAAAAACTTTCTTTCCCACAATCAAATGCTTTCGACAAGTCACAGAATACTGCCGCAGTCGCATCACCATCATTTAAGTCGCTGTATGTTTTATGAAGAAAATTAAATATTGCCTCATTAGTGATTTTGTTTTCCTGAAACCCAAATTGATGAATGATTATTTCGTTTATATTTAAATGGTCATTAAGTCTCATTTTAACTAATTTCTCAATCAACTTTGCAAGAGTTGTTTGTAAAGATATTGGTCTTAGGTTTGATGGACCATTAGGATTATCCCCCTTAGGCAAAGGTATGACTGAAAGTGTCGAAAGTGGTTGAACAAAAACATGTAGAGCGCAATCTGGTAAGTTTTCAAATATTCTGATAGCAACCTCCTATCTGTTATAACATATATTTCAGGTTGCGACATATATGTTCGCAACCTGAAAATTTGATAAAAAGGGGCCTCAAAACCACCCTTGTTTAGGTATAACTCAAACATATGCGGTCATATGTTATCTAGTGACGAGTTACAGAAAAATTGATAGCCTAAGAACCTCTATGAAAAATTTCTTATACATGTCAAGTTTCATCACGATCGGTTGAGCAATGTAGAAGTTTATCAATTAACAACCAACCAAGAAACATCCATTTTTATATATATGATGATTAACTGTAGAATTACTTTCTGAAAAATCGTGACGATGATTTAAGGTTAAATAGAAGAACAGGTCAAATACAGATGATTCACCTCCCAGAGAACTACTTCGTCTGTTATTTACAATAAATTAAGCTATTTATTTTTTTGTCATAAATTTAGTTATGAGTCCGTTATCGAAAATAATAAAGATAATCATCATTATCAATTAATCGGAAATATTTTAATATGGCAACATACTATACATACACTGATAAATATATTTGAATATATGAGTATAAAAAACACGTTGAATCACATGATTACTTCCTAAATTATTAAAGTCAGATGAAGTTAAAAAAAAACTCTTCAAGATCAAGAATTTGAAAATCATCTCCTCATCATCTCATCTCTTTTCGTGACACCCATATAACAATCTTCTAGTTTGTATATATACTTGTTTGTTGTATACTTCTGATCTTAATTTGAATTGTATATTACTTTCTCTAAGAATCGTGAGATCGCGGGCGAAAGCCATGTAAAGTTGTTTGGATTCTATAGAAACATACTATTAACCCACCCTAGATATGACCTAACGCAATAAGCCTATAAAAATACTAATACATGGGCGGAGACATATATATTAACAGAAAAAGAAAGAAAGAAGAATGAAAATAAAAGAAAAACAAATAGAATGAAAAATAAAACATACATATAATCCAGTTAGTTTGGGTAAGTATTGTATAATTGACCAAACCTTATATTAACATATGTAAATATATTTTGATGAATCATGCATTACGTCCCTGTATTTGGAAGAGAGGATTCAAAAAATAGTAGCTTACACTATGGTTTTTGAATCCCAATTTTTTCATCAACTTGTTCGACGCTCCATTTGTCAGTATTACATTTGTTTCGGGATCTTGGCCTTCTTGTGCAATCTGCTTACTCAGTTGTTTCATAACAATTGAAGCAAATCCACTGCTTCTGTATTTTTCCGAAGTATGTAGCAATCCTAGTTCACCTAAACCACTTTTCAATACCCACGCAACCAGTTCATCAGTTGATTTTAGGAATAAACCTACGCCACCATTGTTTTCAATTAAAGAACACACAAACTCGTAAGATTGCGGATATTTCTTGAAGGACCATCCAGAGTGGATTTTTTTGGAGTGGCGCGGTTCGACATCTCCTAACTTCATATCTTCGGGACATCTACAAATGACTACGTATTATATATTAAATATATATATATATATATATCCGCATCAAATCCGCATCAAATGGGATTTTTTTTTGTTCATCT